GTATTGTGGATTGACATATTATATTTCCCTACTAATACGAAAGTTAATCTGTCTGTCACATCAAAACCACGGAACCCTGAGGAAGGACATATGCTACTTTTTTACGAAAAACGACGAAAACGCGGACGAAGTCGCGGGGAAAAGCTAGTTTATAACTATGTGAAAAGTAAATTCCGAGATGTTTTGTCAATTGTTAGCATAAAGAAGATAGGTAGCACATTTCGTTCTAAACCATTCAGTATTTTTTGCTAGATTCAGTAGCAATCATCTTAACATACAATCTTTCGTACTTATTAATTTATTAATAACTAGCTTTTGCCCGCAACTTCGTCCGCGTTATCGTCGTTTTTCGTAAAAAAGTAGCATATGTCCTTCCTCAGGGTTCCGTGGTTTTGATGTGACAGACAGATTAACTTTCGTATTTTAGTAGGGAAATATAATACTGTTAAAAATATCGCAATAAGTGCCCTGTGCCCCGAGACCATCAGCGTGTAACTCCTTGTATGTTGTTATGTTAATGTATTGGTAATATTGTTTAGATCTCTTTCACATGAGTCTTAAGTACATATAGAATGAAAATACTTCAGCGCAAAGCTTCCGGGTAGACTACGTTGAAATTTGACCCGTCCGGAACGTGAACATAAAAAATTCTAGGACTGCTAACCCGGGAAAGACCGACATAACTGACCATGTGAAAAAAAACTGACACCGAGATCTACTCCAACAACACGAAAGGTCTGCCCTTGAGCCTTATTTATTGTCATTGCATAACACACCGATACTGGGAATTGCGTTCTTTTAAATTGGAATGGAAAATTATTTGGTATTATGGGAATTCTGGGAATAAAGATGGTTTCTCCTGCACCGCAACCTATTAAAATTTGAGCCTCGATTACATTTTGTTGCAACTGGGTTACTTTAAGCCGAGTTCCATTGCAAATTTGTGGTGGTCTTAAATTTCGGAGCAGAATAATCGGAATGCCAATTTTTAAACAAATTTCATGAGAAGGAAGTACGGGCATATTTAAAGAATTTAAAAATTCTATCGGGTAATTAGTGGCTTCTTGTTCATCGGCCATTCTATTTATTGAACTATAAACTTTGCTTTCCCCCTGGATATTCGACAGTATTTTATTATTAATCTCAGATGCCTGGTCATTGCGAGGAGTTAAAATGGACCTTTCGCATAGCCAAGAATTGTTCTTATTTAATATATTTGTTACGTCACCGTAAACTGACGATGTAAGATGTTGTTGGGATTGCACTATACAACATAACTCAGGCGTCAGAATAAGTTTTCCTTGGTGTAGCAGTGGATAGGTATCTTTGGTGAAGGTATTTTCTTTAATAATATATCAGAAAATTCACGATCATCCGGGTTATCTACAGTTCTCACTCGCATGTTTATAGTCAAATGCACCGATTGTATATCACGCCACAAATAAGAGCTTTTCAGGCAAGCCCTAACCTCAGCAGCTCGGGTTCCCCGTGGTATTACCGTTAAGGTTTGTCGAAAATCACCACAAAATAAAACTGTGATACCGCCCATATCTCTTAAAGTTCTGTCTACCGCTTCTACTCCTTTTCGATGGGCCATCGTACATTCATCCTATATGATTAAATTACACTTTGAACGAATATTTAAACACTACCAAAACAACTAATACGTGGTCCTAACTTTAGCTACCTTACACATAAAATCTAAGTGACTATTTGAACTAAAATATTCTTATAGAATTATAACCAGAAATATATACAACTCACAACAAAAAAGAAATGAAAATAAAGCTGAAACGCCTGTGCAATACTATCTACCTATACCTCCTTCACTTAAAAATAAATACTTATAACTACTTTAATTAATAAAAGTACCTACGCTTAATAATTTTTAATTTGAACGAATATTTAAACACTACCAAAACAACTAATACCTGTTTTACAAAATAACAACAAAAGAAATTCAAATAAACTATTTAAAGACTAAAAGTCGCGCTGATAAGCACGGTTTCGGTCTCCCAGGCGGGGGAGCAGATGAGAAATCCTCATGGATACCCTACAGCCGGCTGCAAGGTTATGTCAGACTCGTACTGACTAAAAAACACCCGTAGGGTCTGCCTCTGGCCGGGAAGGCCTCTAAGGCTTCATCGGAAGTGATCGTCCCCCGGGGGGGAGCGACGCAGAAAACAGATTTAGACAGCTCGCTCTCGGACCTTTGATACCTTACCGCTGCCGCGACCCGTGTCGAGCGCGGCAACCGTTACACAAAAATAATCCTTATAGCATGATTCAGTATTCACGTGCGACGGTGCGATGGCTTATTTCATGTATAAGTTTGGTGTTTCTATACCGAGTATTATAAACGTAAGAGTAAATAAATATGATCAGAATGCTCCGAACTGCTAAGCTATCGGGAGTTACACGTGTTATTGTGAGTCAACCATAAAAGATAGACATATGCTGTTGCGGGTTATTTTTTAGACAATTTTATGTAGAATATTTCCGTCATACATGATTTCTATGTAACTTTAATCATTAAGGCTGCACCCGCGACGGAAGCTTAAAAAATGGAGTACTTTCTCCCGTTTTCCCAACATTTCCCTTCACTACTCTGCTCCTACTGATTGTAGAGTGATGAAAAGTATACTATAACCTGCCCAGGAGTACGAAGAATAATTGTACCAAGTTTCGTTAAAATCCGTCGAGTAGTTTTGGTTTCTATAAGGAACAAACACACAGACAGACAGACAGACAGACAAAAAATTTACTGATTGCATTTTTGGCATCAGTATCGATCACTAATCACCCCCTAATAGTTATTTTAAAAATATATTTCATGTACAGAATTGACATCTCTACAGATTTATTATAAGTATAGATGAATGAGTTTAATTTTTCATTTTTAGCATTCTACATTTTAAGCATTTTTGGGCCTAAGTCCTACTCTCTGGCCCCCTTCACCTCAATAGGAACCTAAATTCATCAAAATTGATTTAGAATTTAAGACATACTTACAAACAAATACATAGTTACTATTAATTAAAGAATAAACAATCCTATATTTAAATACTGGATATCAGTGCACCAGAGCGAAAACCGCAAATGACGTAGGTAATCTTTAACTACCTATTTTAATTGTTTTATTTTTCTTTTATTTATTGAAGTTATACTTCTTTAGCCGCGTTATGAAAAAATTATGAGAGTGAAATTTTAAGATGCGCGCGCATCACTGTAACACAAAAGTAACATAATGAAGTTAGCCGCGGGCGCGTTATGAAAAAATGATGAGAGTGAAATTTTAAGATGCGCGCGCAACACTGTAACAGAAAAGTAACACCATGAAGTCGGCCGCGAAACCGCACATTACTCGTAAGTCTCGAAAAAAAGCTTCCAACAAAATAGTAATAGGATCTCTTAGTCGCACATGTTGGGACGCTCGTCGCCTCTCATCACTGTTTTCATATTTATAATATTTATTCACATGTTTCTAGTTTCTATATTCTTAACACGTGTTATAATGTTATACAAATGCGAAATTTATATGTGCTAATAAATTTTATTCAGTAGTGATTTAAATTGAATATTTTGATTATTTATTAAATTTTTCAAATTAAAACTGAACTTTATTGACTGCGTTGACTATCCTTTTCTAATCCTTTTATTATCTTATTGTAATTAATTATCTGCATGCAATTAAAAACTATTTTTTAATAATTCCAAAAAGAAGTATAACTTCTCACGCGCGTACTTAAGTACACGCACCCATATTTTTTATTTTTATTTATTACTGTCCCTATATGGATGATTTGATTGTTAAACTTTAGGTATGACTTAAACACACTGACTTTTTTTTTAATGAAATAGTAAGTTTTGCAATAACTCGAGTCGCCTTAGTAAGTTTGTGAAAAAGAGACATTGGCTTTTTACGAGTATTCTTGAGTTTTTAGGTTTTTGGATTCACACTAGGTTAGGTTAGCTTAGTTTTGTGACCAAGACGCACGAGCTGAGCGAGCGTAGCGAGCGTGCTACGGCAACGGCCGGCGAAGCACAAGAATCAAATTCCGCGAAGATCGCCATTATCTAATTATCCACGTTTTCGCAGAATTCCTAGGATATTCCCTAAAATTGGAATTATCAAATCATCCTTTGACATATACCATACTATATTATACATACATATTATTAAAATCCAATTCCCCAATTGAAAATCATAACGTTTGAGATCACAAAGCGAATAATATAATAGAATCTTCAGAGAACGGACAGATCTTTGTGAATCTGTTATTCATTTTAACTTTATGCCTACATAATTTTTTTTCTCCTGAAAAGGGTCCTGACTCTTGACAGACAGACAGGCATTGGTAACTTTATATTCCTATTTTCTTCCGTTTTATTCCTTTGTGAGGCAAATAAGGCAAATCACTGACCCACAAACACGTTATACTTACAATGCAAAAAACAGGGCATCATCTTACTCATATAATAAAATGTGAACGTTTTGTATTGTTGGGTGTTTGTAAGATGTAATTATTTTTGTCATAAATTTAGTTCCACCGCACACGAGCTACACGCCACAGCCACAAACGCCGCCACGAGAAGCTAGAAGCGGCTACTAAAATGGCTGAAGCGCGCGACAGCGGCCGCGTAATGTAAGGGAGAGAGGGGTGGGGAATCGCGCGAGTGACGTGTGGCGGCGTTTTGTATCGGCGCATTAAGTGGCCGGTGCGAGCCACAAGAAGCGAGCAACGACGATTTGTAGCGTGTGGCGGCCACCGGCGTACCGTGTGTGGCGAGTCCATATAAAATGTATGAAAACTACAAGAAATATGCCGTTGGCGGCGTTTTGTGGTTGTGGTCGGTGGCCCGTGTGCGGCGACACTTAGTAGTTGCAATTGATGTAGTGGCTCTCATTTCCGATAATTTGTTTCATTTCTTGCGCCTGTCATGATAATAGAGACATCTCTCAGTTTGAGGTAAAAATATAAATAAATACAAGTCAATTCATTAGTATAAATTACGTATATTGTATGAAATGATAGACCACAAACTTATTAATCTGTAATATTTTATAAAATTTTCATAGTCAAATGGTGTATGTAAAAATCTAAATACTTATATAATTTTTTTAACAAAACTTATAATAAATATTGCATCATTTGTCCCAAAAGCTAGGTAAAATTCAACGTCCCTTCACGATCCCTTGCGTTTGGCCCACAACCGCCACAGCTGGGCCTGCCTTTATGATTGCGTCGCGGATGCGCTGCCCAGCTTTCTCCTGCAGAAAATACAATAGTAAACATCATTCTTTGCGCAAAGAAAATGTTTTGCCAGTCATAATTTAGTTGACGTTTTGATTTTCTTACTACTTACACGACTGCCCAAAAAAGTGTAAAATTTTCAGGATTGTATGAATGTATGTAGTCTCAATTCAAAAAATTCAAAATTCAATATCGTTTATTCAGTCTAGGCTGTTACAAGCACTTGTGAATGTCGAAAAGCTACGCCATCGGTTCGCAAATCTACGGCGGGAAATCTTGTACTGAGAAGAACCGACAAGAAACTCAGCAAGGGCTGTTTTTTCTCCCTGTGTTATATACAGAGTCGTCAAATTGAAAGAATGACTTCAATATGAGGTTACTCATAAAGTCACTTCTAATTACAAATAATATAAAAAATTTGACTATAAAATAAAATATATTTGTATTTAAGATTTGGAGTAATTTTGCGTACATTTTAAGAGAGTATATTTTGTTTGAGCAAAACTGTAGTGTTCAAACAAAATATACTGTCTTTATATACTCCTAAAGTCTGTGTGGAAAGAGGATGGGCGTGGCGAAAAACGGAACTAACATTAAGATTTTTATTTGGCAATCAAACCCAGCAATCTGTAAAACGTCAATGGTTTGTATTGATACGGATTTGTTTGTTGTTGTGATTTCTTGCAGTTTTTTTGTATTTAATCATGTCTAAAAGGGGTAAAACCGTACAAATACGGTAGAAAAGCACTACAGCGCCTTCCAATCTAAATCCCATTCTATTTCCTCTTTCTGCCATGTATATTCTTAGTAATTTAACTTTAACTAGCTCTGTGGTGTAACTCACAATATAATATATTTTGTCTTAATAAAATGAATGACCTTACCATAATGTAACTCATGCTATGGAAGAGTGGTTCTTTTTAGTACAGGTGTCTTACACTTAAAAAAAAAAGCCTACCTTTATCTATGTAACCAAATGTATGGTAAAGAAATAAAACAATTTAATTTAATTTTATTTTATTTCCGCACAGACTACACAAATGTTAGTGGACATTACGTCAAAATTTTATATCCATGCCTCACCTACATTCAAGAACAACGATGTTTACATCATTTAAATGCTAACGTCCTTCAAAATGCATCCAAGCGCAATTTCATCGTTTAAAGCCGTAAAAAAAAAAAAAACAATATTTCATAAATAACTTTGGCGAGTTACAAGGCGGAACTGTACGGAATAATAATCGCAGATTATGCCGGGGCAGCTCGCCCACAATATGGCGTCCTGGGTTGAAAGTTACAAATTAATTTAAGCTTCGGAGAGAATTACAAGTGAGACTGTTCAATTTGACGCGAGATGATTCCGTGGAAAGATAAATTGTACGTAATTGAGTTATCGTAAGTATCCGGAAACAAAAGTGATTTATAGGGATCCGTATCCCAATGGATACAAACAATACCCTTAAAGGATTACTTATTGGAAAACAAATAATATGAGATATTATGGTTGCCAGCGAATTCGTCTGCGCGGAAATATTAGTTTCATAAACAAACTTTGGGGTAAAACGTGGGTTGTTTTACCCCATTAGGGGTCCTTGGAAATCTTTTCATAGCGTACCTACATTACAATAGCTTATTCAATTCAATTTTTTGGTGAGTATGGCTGCGTCTCATTACGTGACGATTCTGCCAATGTCTATACAATAGCCAAATCTGTGCCAAATTTGATCTCTACCGGTTCAGTGGCACAGCTCAAAGTGCCTTAAAAAACTTCTTCATCGGCTTAATCTTTTTGACTGGATTGCACTTACTTAAACTTAACCTCAGCTAAGATGTGAAAATTTTTGGATGATAAAGAAAAACTACTTTAGAATAAATTTTAACTTACAATCTTTTTCCATCCTTTCCATCTGGGTTCTGGTGCACCCGCCACCATGGATACAGCCAGAAAGCAAGCGAACACGAAAAACAATATTTTTCCAAAATCCATTCTGTTATTTATTCTTTTATGTTATGTCACCGAAAAAATAAACGATTCGATTATAGAACCAGTTACGGAAACCAATTGAATGTAATGCTTTCCACAAAACGGAATTCCCTTTTTTATACCATTCCAATGAAGATTGAACGAAACACATTTCCACGGCATTTTAATCTGTAAACGTTTGATAATAAGAGCTGAATGCAATAGTGTGGACTTTACTAGGCTAAGCCACTTAAGTAGAGTGTTTGCTCAGCAAGAAACAGGGTGATCCCCTTGTGATTATCTGATTGCTTTATTCAGTAATAAAGTGGAGTGTTATATGGGATGATGTAAATAATGTTGGTAAATTGTAAACAGATTAACGACAAAGTATTCTTGTTATCACATGGTTTTAACTGCTACATTCTTTGCCAGTTTTATTTCATTGAGTACAATTGTAATTGTTAAACCTTAGGTTTGTTACCTTCTGTACGGGCTCTTACACAAAAACATGATATGGCATCGCGTCGCGCTACTATTCATATTGTAGCAATTTACAAAAAATATAGAAGAACGACCTAAAAATTCACGACACGAAATCGAACCATTCCACGACGTTGTATCGCAGAAACTCCCTTTGTTCTTAAGTGAAAAATCACGTGCTCTACACGACTTGAAAGGGCATTGAAAATGAATCTACCTATTATAGATTATTAAAAAAATATATATATAAAAAAATTAAAACCAACTTTTCCAAAATATTTTTACATCATCATAAAGCTCTTCAATTTTTTTTGCGCTGTCGTACTTTCTCGTGGCCCTAAACCTCGTGGTATCACGGGCGAGTCACACTTTCAGTGAAAATGGGGGTCTACTGGAATGTACGAAACAACATTTTCAATGTTAAAATGATGTCTACTTAATAAAAACAGGAAGATGTATCACCTTCCTGTTTCTCCCCCTTATTAATTAACAAGGAATAATCTTAGAATAGTTACGCCGTGTTTTATTCATGTCAAATTCAATGAACAAAGACAAAATAGGGAGTAAATAATAATCGAATCGGGGGCTAGCTAGAGCGGTCCATTTTTGGACCGCTGCATGTAAACCAATTAGACTGTACTTTTGAAAGGTCTGGTCGAATGATTATCTTTTTACTTTAATGAGAGAAACATTTACCTAATCTTAAAGAAGGTACTGTAGTTTCTTCCTTTGCATTGGGTAGGGTCACAAAGAAATTTTGAGGCAACGAAAATTCAGTTAAAGTTATAGTAGTTAAGAGTCATCTAATGGAACAGAACATACCTGCGCTATGTCGACAGTTGTTGTTTAACCTACTGAATGATGTTTAAAATTATGATAAACTCTAATTGTATATTTTGTTTATTCCAATATTTTCATTTGAAAATGAATTCGGGCATACGTTGATCAATGTATTTTTTCAAAACCCTTCAACTTTATGTTCATTGTCCTTTACACAGAAATATCTTTATATATATAATTCTTCTGTGAGTGTGTATGTCACTGAACTTCTCTTAAACGACTGGACCGATTTTGATGAAATTTTTTGTGTGTGTTCAAGGGGATCTGAGAATGGTTTAGATTCACAATTTTGTCCGCTGGACAACCCCTATTTTTTTAGGGCGGTACGAAGTTCGCTGGGTCAGCTAGTATATTATAAAAATTAAAAAATTAACTTACACATTTGAAAATGCATTATTGTGTTAACAAAAGTCGTGTTAGAACATAGCTGACTCGTTTATTCGGTTTCATTTCTGCCCCGAAGTGCTTTAATAATTATGAAAATATCGGAAAAATCATGGCAAAAAATTACACATAAATTTAATTCCAAATAAATTAGGTTTAGTTTTTGAGGGGCTATTCCGCCATCTTCCACAAGTGACAGCTCACGTCACGCATGCGTCATGCTTATTTGTATCGCTTATTAGTAAATCCAATTTGATTTCCAAATAGAAATCTAAAGCTAAATAATGTGAGAAAACAGACTTCTCAAACCTAGAGTGATATAGGAATTTAAAGAAAATACTTGATTAAGAATATTTGTCTTTCAAGACCTGCTGATATTTTGGCAAGCAGACGTCCAGAATGTCCTCGTTCATCAACTGGAGGGTACGAAGTTCGCCGGGTCAGCTAGTGGTATAAAATAACTGTGACCAGACCCCTCTTTCCCAGTGGGCACTTTGGGCAAGTGCCCAGGGTCCCGCGATCATTAGGGGCCCCTCTCAGATCAAATACAAAGTCGCTAGTTCCTGTTAAATCACCAAACGGGGTGAAGTCTAGGCTGTTACAAGCTCTTGTGAAAGTCAAACGCTACGTCATCGGTTCATAAATCTACGGCGGGAGACCATGTACCGAGAAGAACCGGCAAGAAACTCAGCAAGGGCTATTTTTTCTCCCTGTTTTCTTCATACAGTGTCGTCAATTGAAAGATGACATCAAAAACTAAAAACATGTGTTGATGTCATCTTTCATCACATTAATATTATTAACTAGCAAACCCGGCGACCTCCGTTTCGCCACCAGATGGCTTCGTTTTATGTAACATTTCGTTTGGTGATTAAAAGAAGTTTTTTTTTTAATTTTTCCTGAATTTTCTTTGCTATAAACCTCACGGAGCCCGAGACCTTTCCAACGAATGCAAAACCGTGGAAATCGGTTCGTGCGTTCTGGAGTTATAGCGTCAGGAAGGAAAACCCGACTTATTTTTATATAGTAGATTAACAATAAGTTAAGTATAACTAACAATTTTCAACCAAATTAGCAAAGTAAAACGACTTAGTCTATCATATTATATTAAGCCCAAGACGATTTATCATTTATAAAATCTTTAACTGTATAATAACCTTTCATAAGGAGACAAGTTTTTAAACGCACTTTAAACTTATTAAAAGGTAAATTTATTATTTCTTTTAGGGGCCTCATTAACCTAATATGCCCAGGGCCCTCAATAGGTCAAAGACCACACTGACTGTGACAGTTGCATTGAATTGGTAGGAACTTTAGTAAAATAAGACGGAGAGCACTCAAATTTCAGCCGCATAAAAACAATCGCTGCATAACACACAGCCTCCTTGTTTATTGAGCCAATAAAGATAATAGTGAACGTTTTCCTCAAAAGATATTCATATTTTATTGGCTTATGTTATGAATTTAGCGAATTACCTCGCGACGCGGTAATCTATTCCTGTCATACAATGATACATTGGGCACCGCATTTAGATCAAGCGGAAAAGGGAATAATAAATAATGTTTAATTTATTGGGAATTGTAAATAATTAATTAGTTATTATTGTTCTGTTTTTTAATTTAGAGACGGAAACTGACTCGCCATTGTTTACCAAATGCTATACCTACCTACATTTATATTAATATTTCAATAGCTACGCACGGTCAGCGACTTAGCAGTAATGACTTTATGATTTTAAAAATTTTGAACGGTTATAAATCTGAATTCTAACAAAATAAAGCTGAATGTCGTTTTAAGAAATTTGGATAGTTTTCGATATACTTTTATACAGTCTTCGTAGAGATGTTATGTGTTCAAATAATGGTTTTGTTGATCTGGAAAATCAATGGAATTCTGCAGGCACAGCGCGGATCTCCCGCGCTGTGCCGCTGTCAGGTATTGTAAGAGTCACCAGGTTGGCGTAACTGCCCACAATCAAACAAAATTTTGATTGTAAGTAGATCATATTTGTGGTCTCAATATACCACTCAAAATAATTATTAAATTGTGGTGGCATTTGGAACCACAATCACAATACATACAAGAGCAGTAGCGTAACTCAGCCGTTTTCTTGAAATAGATACCTACGACTGAGCGGAGCTCTAGGGTTGGTACCTACGAAATGTAAAACATATTTGTGTAGATTTTTATTGTATGTGTATAGTTACTATTGCCACGTTACGGAATCGAAACGGAGGCAGACGGCGCGGGCGGCGCGGAGCAGCTAACTTAACTCGGCCAACATCCAGCCTCGGCGGCGCGCGACGTGGCACTGCATAGATTTGTCTTGGCAAGATTGGTTAGCGGCCGTGTAAATGACGTTTGTCTGTGTGCGTGCGTCGATTCTGGGGGCCAATCGCCTAACGGAAATGCTTTGGAAAACGCTAACGCTTACGATTTTATTTTGTTATTTCTAGCCGCCTGAGGTATTCAAATGCCTCGCGCTCTTTCTTTTTCTTTTGCATTGGTAATAACAATATTAAAAAAAATGAGCGTGAGGTATTCGAAAACCTCAGGCGGCTAGAAATTACAATATAAAATCGTAAGCGTTAGCGTTTCCCAAAGCATTTCCGTTAGCCGATTGGCCCCCTGGTGCTAGTATGAACTCGGAGTACTGCTCTTGTATGTATTGTGCCACAATTTCAGTCCCGAATGCCACCTCAAAATATTTTTTTAATTCTATGTTGCCATCAGGACTACCGGTCCTGATCTAAAAAGGTTTCACAGCCTAGCACATACACCAGTATGTTTTAGAAAAAACAAAATATTTAGATTAATGTAGATTGATTGGACAACAAATTTAATATAATTACAATTCTCAGCTAATCAAACATGTTTAACTTTGAATATCTATTTTGTTAGTGGAATAAATTATATCATGTGTATACTCTCTCAATACCTAAATGAGATTCCAAATTGCGTCCAGCGCGTGAATGAAAACGCAATTGAACCAAAAAAAATGCAATTCATCCAAATAATTGAAATACAGGGTGTAAAAAAACCTATGACAAAGACTTAAACTACGCGTTCTGTACACCTAAAAAAGTCATATTACAAAATATTATAGGTGGGAAAAATTTGTATTTTTAAGTTAAAAAAATAAATTTTTTTTCTATCACGCAATGTTTAGCGCGGCGCGCTACTGTGGCGCTACGCAAACAATGTGCCTGTGTCTATGAGTGTGCGTGTGTGTAAGTGCGTCGATAAAAAAGTTTCAAACGTAACGTCATAACGTTTTGAAAATATAAATGTATCAATCTTGAAAAAAAAATTTGGCTTTGACCGTCAATATCTCCATAAATTTCCCAGGTATGGTCCAGAAGAAAAAAATGATCGTCATGATGTGGAAAATACGTGGCTTT